CCCCCCCCCATCTCTCTTGCATGTTTTTGTCTATATTCTACCAGCTAAATAGCCAGAAACAAACTCTAGGTGAGCAACTGGCCCAGAGCCACAGAGAAATTGAAATGCAGACGGATTCACTCATCCGTGTGCTACAAGAGAAGGAAGAGATAGCTAAGGAAAAGGCACAGCTGGCTGTGGAGCTCACTGCAATGCAGAGGCAGAAGAAGTTGTTAACTGAGGAGACAGACACTCTCAGGTAATGATTATCTCTGATGAAACAGCACAGTGACCTGCAGTTACATGCAAGTAAATTCTTAATGAACATTAGGAAAAAAATATTAACAGTAAAAAGTTATATATTGGAATCAATTACTGAGGGAAGTGGAAGTCTCCCTTTTAATGAATAGATTCAAGCAGAGCAGCCATTTATCAGGAATACTTTGATTTGGATCTAAATCACTCCTTTTAATTCAATGATTTGATGATTCCCTAACAGTTAGATTGTGGATTAAGTTAAAGCTTAAGTTAACTTAATGATTCAGTTTTGACTGTCTTCACATGAGATTGTTATGTTTCTCTTATCAGGTAAGATTTGCTTTATACTTGCTTAAACACATGAACTTCTGAACTCAAAACAGAGATGAAATGTTCACATGAAGATAGGCTATGGAGAAGTACTTCATAATATATTAAATGAGACAGGAAAGATTTAACCCATTCCTGAATCATATATATTCATTATTTTACCAATTGCCTAAGGAGCCAATTAAAATAAATTTTCATGATTTCACCACCACACAGAAAATTAATACAGTGATGCTTTCCTGGTCTAAATTGGATAGCTTTACTTTTGTTGCATATTCTTTTAATTTGGAGTAGGCTGCTTGCCTTCCAAAATCATCCAAACCTTTAAAGGACACTGTTGTCCTGGCAAATGAATTATTTACTAATTGTTGGCTTTAACTAACTCAAACTTGGGTGGTGAAGGGTTTTTTGGTTCTTACTTGACCAGCAGAAGAAGAGATTGGACAACCATTTGGCAGGGGGTTATTGTATTATTATTTTATTCTGTTAACAATGTACTTCTCTATTTCTGCAATTGTCCAATTTGCTGCTTCCATTCTTTTTTTTTTAACCTTCTTGGCTCTGCTTTGCAGCTCTCCACATTCCATAGAAACATGTTTGCTTTGTACAGTAATAATTATAGTAATGCCTCTCGTTTTCCTTGCTTTAGCTGCCCCAGTGTGATGAATGGGTCAGTTGGAGCAAAAAAGTAAATTATGGAAGAGAATAGGAGAATTGTAGTTCAAAGTAAGATCTATACACAAATGCAGCTGTGCTCAAGACCTACTTCAAGACAACCATAAGTTCCTGAACAAACATTACTTTAACAGATTGATGGCTCCAGCTCCTCCTGTTGCAAAGCTGGATTTCTCAATACTCTCTAGAGTATAGGTGTCCCAAGTCAGAGATTTATTCTTGATCCCAATGAAGTGATGCCAAAACTATAAATGATCATAAAACTGTGCTGGCTAATTTCTCATCTCTGTTCATTTCTAATTTATGACTGTTATCACATAGCTCCTGCAAATCCATTTCTAAAATCTCAGTGAAATAATGTTTAGTTCTGTATTATTAATATGTGTGTAGTGATTGAAAAACTAAAGAAATCTGAATAAACATGATGGTTTCCAACTTTTTCCTCATTACATGACTTATTTTATAATTGTTTTAGCAGATAGTGGTATCTAGCCAACATTGTCAAGTACTATCTACGGGTCTAGATGCTAAGCAAGGTCAGGCCAGGTTAGTATTTAGATGAGAGAACATCAAAGAAGCCTGGGATTATAAGGGACTATAAACTGGGAAGTAAGAAAAAAATCTTGAAAGAAAGCAATGGCAAATTATATTGGTACTACTGCTTAGAAAACTTCAGGATGCACCCATGTAATTACAGGAGTTGGGTTCAATTTGTGGGTGACTTTATTTTTGCACTGATATCCTGCATCTTCTACAAAAACAAAAACTAATGTTTATGGTTCTCAGACTATCTTTTCCCACGAATACAGTGGAGACATCTTGCCTTCTGGATTTCACATGAGTGAGTGGTGTCAGATCCTATGGTGGGTTGTATTACCAGTGCCAACAAGCATGTATGTACAGGTAGCCCTCAATTCATGACCACAAGCTGGCTGGGAAGGTTACAAGTGATGATCACAGGATTCCGGGACAATGAAACTGTCATAAATACATGCTTGTTGCCAAGCCCCCAAATATTGATCACATAACCATGGGGATTCTGCAACCATCACAAGTGTGAAAAATGGTCATAACTCACTTTTTTCAGTGTTGTTGTAACTTCAAACAGTTGCTAAACAAATTGTTGTAAGTTGAGGACTACTTGTAAGTACTAGCTGAACAATAGCCTCTTTTTAAAATCATTGCTTTGTGGGTATCTGCAGATTCAAGGTGAAGACAGCCTAATTGATTGGCACTGATTATATCCTAATGTGCTTTTAGAATGGAGAAGGAATCCCTGGAAACCAGCCTTTTTGAGGCACAAGAGCTGACCGCTCAACTTGAGGCCCGCAAGGAACAATTAGAAGGAGAAAATCAAGGCATTGGTCTTTCTAGGAAGGCCCTTCAAGGTACAGTATGCACAATCTGATTCAACAATTCATTTGGATTAAAAAAAATTCAGCAAGTCTGAGTTTTTTCACTGAGTTTATTTTATGTGGCGTACCAGAATACAGCATTAGCTGTTGTTTTTATTTTTGGTTCTCATGCTGTTTCTTCTTCCTGGGAGGTCCTTGGGAGGTCCAGCAGCCAGAATGTGTAGACAATTTAGCCACAACAAAGTCACATTGCCCATGGTGCACCACAAGGAGGCTAGTCTGCATTGCACCCATTTTCACTGAGTGATAATATTTCATAAGAGGTACATTTTTTGTCCAATTCTGGGTATTTTAGCTGGGTATTTTAAATCCACTGTGTGCCAGGCAACTTTTTAAAAATGTTTGTGTTAAGATTATGCCTAACATGGTTGGTTGTTAGCATTCTCATAATAACTAGTGAAAACACAGAAAATAGAGAGCAAAATAAACATTTTCATGCTAGAATCACATGCAAAGTGAAGTCTTCAAAAAAACTGTTTTGATACCAAAGTTTTTACAATGTCTTTAAGTTGGATTTAAGAGTGAACAGTTAGATGAGTTGTGAGATGATATATGTTGCCGCAACATCACACCACAGATTCATTTTCAATTAGTAATTTTTTCACAGGTATTATTACCAAGCTAGCTGTCTAGTTTCCAGTAAATTGGTTTCCCAAGTGAAGTTTTTCTGCTACCACATCACACTGCTAATTCATATTCAGTCTGCAATTAATTACTAGTTGTTCTGGTGCTTTTTAATTAACAGTCACATTATTTGAACAGAAAAGATACTAGTTCAATTTTTTAAAGTAGCTATAACTTTTTTTCTAAATGGTGTTGGAAAATCTATAATCAAACTTGCATTTTCCAGATGCAGTGCCAATTTCATTATTCATTTTGATCAAAAGCAAAGAAAATGTTCCAAGAATTAGGACAAATACTTAACAGTCTTCAATAATTAATATTAGTTTTATGGTTCATTTTTCTCAGAACATCAGATTCTGCAACATTAGAAAATCAGTATTGTTGCAGCAAGATATTGAAAAACTAAAGTACATCCTTCTTTTGGATCACCTATATTTGTGAGAGATAATATTGGTTGAAAAACACAGCAACTCAGTGTCTTGAAGAAATGAAGAATTTTTAATGAAAGACTATTCTAGTCACATCTGATCTCCAGATTGCACCTGTCAACAAATTACTTTTTGGACAACAGTGTTGCATATTCAAATATGCAAGGCTTGCATATGTGACAGTGATGCCTATCTGCTCCAGATTATAAATAGATTTATTTATTTTTTAATTGGAAAGTAGGTGATCTTTTTTTCTTTTGTGCTTTGTATCTGTTACTCTTGTTCTTTTATTGGTTTTTATTTTCAATGTTTATTGAAATCAACATATTTTTTAATAAAATCAATGGGGTATATTTTAATCTCATAGCGAACTCTATGTTACCTTCTGAATAACAGTTCTTTGAAATATCAACTTCTGGAAAGCAGAAAATGGCTTTGACCCTTATATGCATGTTTCTGGGGCTCTTGAATGCATTTGGTAGTTCATTCTATGACAGATAATGCTGAATTGGGCTGACCGTTGGCCTGGGTTTATTGGTAGTTTTCTCTATTTTATTCTGGCTCTCTGGCAGTCTTAGCAAGTTGGTTATCAGTGGCTATAATCAAATTCAAAAGCAGATACACAAAACATGTAAGAGCAAACAATATTTAAAAATGATATTAATAAAAAATAGAGAATGGGATTATTATCTTTTGGAGGAATAATATCAGTGAATTAAAAGACAATGGTGAAGTCTGGTATGATTGAAATCTTTTTCAACATTCTGTATATTGGAAAATACCTAAGAATCTCTTCTAAATAGAGCTTGTTTTCTTTCACAGCGGAATTAGGAAAGGTTCGGCAAGAACTTGAGCTTCAAGAGAATACCTTGAGAAAAGAGATAGAGAAGTTAAAGCACCAGTTGACTCAAACAGAAGAAGAGTGTCAGTTGTCTATGAAACATCAAAAGCAAGCTTTTGAAGAGGACCTTGGGACTCTTAGGAAAGAGAAGGTCAGTGATGCAGGTCCAAGAATTAAATAGTCCTTGATCAATTTGTAATGATTGGTATCAAATAGTCCCTGCCTCCCTAAAATCAGTTCTAATATACATATCAAGTTCCACAGTTGGTAGCTGTGTTTGGAATAAAAGCAGCAAACCACCATGTGGCAAAAATTAATGTATTTATAATTATATGATTTTTAATCAACCACAACCTATTTCATCAGAATCTATTAAAATATTGTTTAAGGAGCTATAAGAACAAATGTTGGATTTATAAGAATACATTTGCCTCATTACTATAATTTAACTAATAAAAGAATTTTGAGAATTTACATGCATACCTGCTATGAGATCATGCTCCTTGCTAGGTACAAACACATTATGAGGATACTGATCATCTCAAACTTTCTGACAGTAGTATCTACTGTAATATTTTGCCATGGAGTTAATGTAAACAATTTAGGATTACCATTAAATGGACAAAATAAAATCAAAGAGCACTATCCACTTTGATGCAAATGTGATAAATTCTCTTTGTCTATTCGACTCTCATTATTTAGGAGTTCCTAATATATTTATCTTAAGTAAATTGATGGAGAAAATTATATAATTGTATTTGTCTGCTGTGAGGAATTAGTTTCAACCTAGTTTACATCACAATCATATGTTTTTGAGAAGGATGATTGTGAGATGAGATGCCTTTTGAGTTGATGCTTCCCTTCCCCAGCCTTATACCAGTAGTTTTAAACATAAAAGCTCCAAGATTAGTAAGAAATCCAGGATAGTAGAGAAATACCATAATTAACAAGCTTTGACTGACATTTTTCTTATGAATATTAGATTATAAATCTCCAGGTCTAGTTGCTGGTTTTTGGAATGACAAGCTAAAGAACATATAAACTTGATTAATAAACCATAAGCTGATGTAGCTAAACATAGACCAGCATGAATTTCCACATATATTCTCTTATGTTCAAGCCTTTTAATGTAATGCTTTTTAATAATATTTTTAAAAAGAGTAGACTAGGTGACCAATTTAGTTCCCCCATAAAACATGCAGCATTCTTAATTATAGTAAGGATATATTGCCAGCTTGTGCACATTTTGAGCATTATGCCACAGGTGCAACTAAAGCCCAGTTTTATACAAGGTGTGCTTGTGCTATTCTATTCAAAACTAGGGTCTCCAATCTAGAGATTATCTTGCAAACCAACAAATTGTTTCCAGCATCCCAGCAACTATAGAAGATACACTAGATATCTCTATACATTCAAGATTCTCTAATACTTTTTTAATAAATCATGAAAGTAACTGTATTACTAAAAATACAGAATTAGAATAGAATGTATTATGCAAAAGTTTGATCTTTAAACATGGATCTTCTCTCTCTAGCAATGAAGTTCAGCGACTGAGTTCAGGTTATTACGGTAGTTGCAAGTCAACTTATTTTAACCTATACTATAAAGTTATTATGATGATAAAATACAAGGACCCACACAGAAGATCTATGGAAAGAAGAATGTGATAGCAACCTATATTAATATATCCATGAACAATAATTATTTATAAATTGCATATTTTAATTCAAAATTTGAATAGAAGAGAATATATGTAGCTCAGGGTTAAACTGTGAAGACTTGGTGTTCTCTGAATTTGCTTGTGTGCTTGTAGACATTTCATTATCCAACTAAGTAACATCACCAATAATATCATCATCACAAGTCAAATTTATTTCCAAGCATATCATGCATGAATAAAGAGTCCATGGCCCAGTACTCCATTTGCAAAGACCATGAGAGTGCAAAATAACAAATTTCATCAATGCAAATATTTGTGCTTTAATTTCAGAAATATGACTGGTGTGGAAATAGAGGATGTTAAGGAGGTCTTTAATTCCAATTCTTGATATCTTGTGAAATGGGCTAATATGTGCAAACTCTAGCTGCATGATACCCAAGTAAAATGCAATTATAAGATTACTAATAAGACTAAGGTGCCTTTATGAAGTAAATAACTCCCATATCTAGCTTTATGCATCCTCATTCCAAAACTGAGCAAGAATGAAACCCAGAAATTTTCTGATCGATCCATTCCAGTAACATCACCATTGGATTAAACAGCAGATCAGGAGGATGAATTCAGTAAAAGTTGTCTTCCCCCATATTTGACTTATTGAAATCATGATTAAATTGCCTTTATTAAATGTCTAAGGAGATTCTCAGTCATCCAAGTCATGGTTGTCCCAAAGGTTCTTTTTCAAAAGGTAACTGGGCTTTGTTTTTCCTTGAAGATGTTTTGCTTCTCATCCAAGAAGCTTCTTCAGATATGACTGAACATTCTTGGATAAGTGAAACATCTTCAAAGAAAAACAAAGTCCAGTTACCTTGTGAAAAAGCACCTTTGGGATGCCTTTACTTAAGTTTGTTTTCTATATACTCTGAAATTCTATGAGATCAAAATCTGGAGACAGGATTTTAATTGCACTGTGCCCAAATTCAATAATATTTTAGTTGATAAATACAATACACTACTGATACTAGGAGATCCTGCGTCTGACACTGATGGAGGAGAAAGATGAAACTGTCAGCTGTCTTCAGCAAGAGAAAGAAGAACTGGTGTCCAAGTATGAAGCTGAGAAGAGGGCGCACATGGAGGAAATCCTCACTTTGCAGCAGCGCAGAGATGAAAGCCTCCTCATGCTAGAAAATGAAAAGCAAAAGGTGAGGAGAGACAGTTGAAAAGTTATACAAGACAGAAGGAAACTTTGTTCCCAATCTCTCCCACAATATTATCCGCCGAGGATATTACATATAGGAATTTACTCAGAGCTCAATGAACAGGGACTATCAACATGATCCACACTGGGTAATATTCAGAAGGAGAAAGAAGGGTATTTTCATCAAAAAATATTTCTTGAAGTGGTAGAATTGCATCTGGTTCTATTATCTGAATTGAAAACTTGATAATTCGTTCAGGTCATCTTTTTAAGGCAACAAACCTGATTCATGTTGTCTGGGCTAATAAGGAAATTGGGATCTACTTTCTTTTTCATACATTTTTAAAAAGAAGTAACATTCTTATTTTAGCACTAAATACATAATAAATATCTGTGTTTTGTGGGAAAGTATGTTAAAATTTAATTTTCATACTTTTCTAAAAAAAAGCAATATGCAGATTGAAATAGAAGACAGTTAAAACGTGTTGATGAGTAAGCACAAAAGAAACTGAAAGAGACTGATCCAGGCATTCTTAATATCTAATAGCTTTCAGTATCCTTGAGTTATTCTGGTATCATTTGCTACAAACCTTGTTTTAATGGGAATACAATATTTATTTATTTAATTTTACTAGACAGTATTACTCGTATAAAATGGGAAGCAGATGGTCCCAGTGCCATTCCAGGGAATCACCCCTGACCCAGGGAGTTATTGCAGCTGGCTGACCTTCTATGCCAGATCTCTGTTGCAGTTTGGTACTAGAACTGGACATATAATACTATTCAATTAGTGCTTTGTTTTAGTTACATTTTGTTGAACAAATAAAAAGCTACTCTACAAATCATAGTTACAAATCACTGTAACACCTTAGCCCAAACTAAACAAAATACATATTGTAATGGCTTGAATTAAGTGTAAATTGAAAATTGCTAGCAGCCGTTGTTTTGTGCAACAGAGAAAGGCAACTGAGGTAAACACAAAGAGGTATCAAAAAGAATTACAGCACTGACAGGCTATGTACTTCTACAGAGGAAAAAGTAAACAAAATAGCCATGCTTCCTGTCCATCAAATGTGATTTTGTTCCTCCCAACAAACATCCCTGAGAATTTTGCTTTAGGGTAACCTTGAAAAAATATGGTGTCCTGATGAATCCATCCCTGTACCATTCTTGGCAACAACACAAAAGGGGTTTCCCATGCCCACCTTCTATGATGTTTTACATTATCCCAGTCTAGTTCATAGCTCTGATACTTCTTGATGAATTTCCAACTAAATCCTAAACTGGTCAGACCTTGCTAGGTTTCTGAGATCAAATACTATTTTAAAAATCTGTTAATAATATCAACATTGTTAATAAATAAAGGTCATAAAATATAGTCAGGACAGTGTAAAGTTGATAAAGTTGATGAGGATGTCTGTTCTCATCATCTTCAGGTAGTCTCTCAAAAAGAAGCTGAAAAGAATCTCCTTGTGGAAAAGCTCAATGAGTTACAACGAGAGCTGAAATACACCAGGTCTGAGATGGAACAGCTGAAGCTTGACGGTCTAAAGCGACAAGAGCAGGATAAGGTACGTATGAATTTTTTTCTGTGACACTGAGGGCAGAATTTTATACCTCGCAGCTCTTTCAAGCCAAAGAAGGTCTAGGACCAAGCAGATCAGAAGATAACTTCTTATCCTTCATGTCTAGTTGATAGAAGGATTTGCTTTTGAAGGTCACCTTTTATGGAACTCCCACAATAAAGCCAGCTTGCTTTGGTCCTTAAGGGACATCCACAAAAAAGGTGAAAATGTTTTTGTTCTGCCAGTTACATGGAAGAACTGGATTTTTATTCTTACTGCTGTATTGTTAAGTTTGTTCTGTTGGCATTGACGACCGACTTCATTACTTTTGTACTGAATTCTAATGGTAATGATTCTTGAGTTCTTTTATAAGTAGAAAGAATACAAATTTAAAATGTTGTTGGTTCCTTAAGCATTTTATTTTTCAGTATTGTTATTAAAATGAAAGGTAAAAAGATTAACAGAAATAACAAAACAATGCAGGCTTAAAACCTAAAATTTTGAAACCTATTTTGTGAAATTACTGGATTCACAGAACTGTATATTCAGCTCAGCAGGAACCACAGAAAGGGATGGGATCTGACAGGTTTTCTTTTGCTTATGCATTGGTGGAAAAATGTAAATTTCAGAAAAGTGTAAAATTGAGACAGATTGCTGTAAAGTTTTGTTTTCAACCACAGTTACATTATTTTAAGCCTTTTATTGACATGCAGTGGCTCTCTAGGGAGTATAAAATATTAGCATACATTTCATGAAATTAGAAATAAAGCATATAAAGAAAATTAAAACATAGAATATGTAAAAGTACAGGCTAGCAGTGAAGGGAGAGCATCAGCTGGAAATTTCATGTATGAATTAATATTGTCCTGTGTCTGCCTCCAGTTCTCAGTCATGAAAATCATAAGATGCCAGCACTTATTTAGGGCTCTATTTTGTTGACATTTGTAATAAAAAGTTTATTTCCAGCTATAAATAAACTGAGATTAAGAAAAAAAACCACAGATTAAGCTTCACAGAATTCATATTCTAATAGTTTCTAGGGAATCTATAATGCCATAAGGGGGCACTGTTCTTGCAAAAACTAAAGTCAGCTCTTTTTTTTTTTAACCCTTCTGCCCAGCCAGATGGACTAAAAATGGTACCTTATTTGAAGCGCCTTCTCATGATCTTGATATAAATGAGGGTAACAAGGAAAAGAAAACATGTTTATAAGCCATATGTGTGTATACACAGCAGCTTATGAGAACTATTGAATACATTTAGGACTATACAATTATATTAAATATTATTTTAACAATATTTAATATTGAAGTGCATTTTAGAACTTTAATTATTACATGTATGTTCCCCCCTTGCCTTTGGAAAAGGAAAACAGTCACCATGAGAAATTTAGTTGCACAAAAACAACACTTTGTGGTAATGGGTGACTACACTCAGCTCTATGGTCAAGGAGGTGAGTTCCCTATCCCAATACAGCATCTCTCCACTCCCTTAAACAAAATGTTGGAGAACTATAGCTCTGCCCAATTCCCCACTGTCATAAAATACCAAGAGCTTCTCTGAGGGAAGACAGCTATTCATGGGGAGAGGACCACCCATTCTTGCTCCATAGATGAGGTACACAGGTGTGGGATTGATGTAAGGGGACCAGTTTTTCAGGGCAGAACATAAACCACCAAAGGACTCCTAGTTACAAGGCTGAAGTGTGCAAGGGAAAAACCTATCCAGGTGTGCAAATGATAGAAGAAAATGTGCTGGGGTAGAAGAGGGGACAGGATTCTCAAGCTGACCAATGGAAATTAAACAGCACAGGCAGATAATTTTTTTAATGTAATTCCTGAACTACTGTAGCCTTAATTTGAATCAAAGTTTTTATGGTTGCTTTTAATATTTTCTTTTGCTTTAAGACAAGAACATTGATTCATGGATTTTTGTGGTCCTGATGTCATCAAGGTTTTTTAAAAAGAAAATATGTACTCAAAAAGCATTGGAACATAACTAATTGAAATTCCAATTATTTGAAATTAATGTGGCACAGCACCGAGAATGAAATACTAGCAACTCTAGGAAGTTTTCAGAAGGAAAGAACTAGTGCAGAATAACCTTGCTTTTTTGTAAATATGTAGAGGAGCGTGCAAAGAGATAAGTAGATACTGGTGATGTCATGGGGACATCTAACATAGGGACACTATGCTGACACAGACATTCTTTGATTTCGCTCCATTCTCCTGGCTCCACATTTTGTTTCTCATAATACATCTCTGGGTTTTTTCCTTTTTTCAATAGCCCTTTTGTGGGATTGTTTGATTCTGCTTTTAAATAAAAACACATTGGCAATATCAGCCAGAGCCCTCTTGTATCTCCAGAGAAATCTATTCACAAACTTGCAAAGCACAGCCTCTTAAGACAAAGCAAACAAACAGTACAACAAGGGTGAGAAACCCTACCAGAACAAATCTGAAAAGCATTTCAGCTGGAAAGATTGACTGAGAACCAGCAGAGAGCCAGCTTTAAAACAAATACATTCCCTGAAGGACTGTAAACAGTAACTCCACCCCAATTGCTTAGAGCAGCGCAGAATGACAGAAACTGGCCCTGTTGCTGTGATTTCCTGGAAATCTTATTTCTAGCCCTCAGTTTCTTGCTTTATGAAACAACTTTAAACTCATTGATGACTGGGATCCTTCTGAGACTGGACCTGATTCAGTGAGCTATTTTCTGCAAGGTAGTACATGCAGAAACAGAGTAGGAACAGAGGCTGGAACAGAGAAGGGCGAGGTAACAAATGCAAGCCAGATGCTCCTCCCCAGGGTAAGGATGTTGCAATTCATAGCTGGAAGTCGCATGGCTGTGTTCCATGCATGGTCCAAACTCCGTCCTCTTGGAGAAGTTTATGAGTGGCTTGCAAAGCAGTGAGCAAGTTCTTGGCTCCAGAAGAAAAGATCTTGCCCAAGAGCATCTCATTTCCTGGAGCTCCCCCACTCTGAACCCCCAGAGGAGTTCCCTTCAGCCTAGATGGCAAAACACAGCCTTCCAAACACAACAAGGGAAGCAGAAATCATCCTACTCTACTCTGGGAAATGCAGTGCCTGCCAGGGGTTTCCTGCCCTTCCCCCACACACAGAGGAATAGAGCATTCTATGATGTTACTCCTACCTTTTCTACTGATTTCCTATCATTTAAAAGACTGGTCTATATGATTTATTCAAAGAGAAGCCAACTGTTTTTCTTAATAAAAATCATCATCATACTAGGTCCGTGGAAAAGTTTTGCTAGGTGAATAGAAATGACTATGCAACTAACAACAACAACATTTCCCTTTCAAAGTAACAAAACCCAGAAACATGCACATGTATGCTGGCTAGGAATTCTGGCAGCTGCATTACAAACACATCCAGAGATCAGAAGTTTGGCAGTAGTCTTGAAGTGCTTCAAGATTTACCCAGTTAAAATTCGAAGCAATGTATGCAATGAGGTGATGACAAGGAATATGCTGGCTAACCTTGCCTCGCATGTAACATTCCTGTACCAGTGTTGCAGCCATCTGTAGATATTATTTCTGCAACAGGGAGAGTAATGATCATAGAAACTGGGATAAAAGTCAGCAGGCAAAGTTAGTTAGCATGTCCCTGCTCTCTAATCACATAATCAGACTACTTGAGGTAACATAACTACCTCTGAAATAAGTTTCTCAAGAGATCACAGCTCTGCGTTAGCCCAGGAATTCTGGAAATTATAGTTCCACACATCTGGAAGTCACAGGGTTGAAAAGTTTGAACTCTCCTAAATCAGAGGATCAAAATGATCAGTGATATTTCCTCCAAAAAGTCCTGTGATGTGGGTGTTGTTTCCAATTATAAATGGGATGATTGAAAAAGCCAGATGTGTTCAATAATGTCCTGGGGCCAATACCTCTGACACTCATTATTAAGTAATTGTTAAGTGAATTATTATGTATTCTAACTATTTTAGCCTATACCACTTGGTTAACTCTGGAAATGGTTTTGCCCTCCAGATGTATTGGATTACACCTTCCAACAGCTATAGTCAGGATGACTAACTATATTAGCTGCAGATAATAAATTGCCATCATATCTGGAAGGTATAGGATTGGGAAATATTGATGTTCTTGAGGAATCTTGGATGATGTACCTATATAGGCTATATCCTATCATCAGGATTGGGCCGTGTCTCGGACTGCTGCTTCTTAGATAGCACTAGGTGGCACTAAGTATCCACAAGTCAATTCCCCATGTAGGCAAGAGACTTTTATTATAAGGCAAAAGATAAACATTAGGGAAAAATTAAATATAGCCCATGGCAACAGAATCTAAGTCTTAGATAGCATAGGCAAAGTATATATAGGAATAATACACCAGAATTCATCAGAATACAGATATACTGATTGTCCTGAATTGATCAGGTTGAAACAGTAGAATCTCTGATGTTTTGAATAATGTTTTATTTTTAAAAAGTATGGGTTCAGAGGGATAGATGTAAAAGAGACAGGCAATGTAAACATAGTTAAAATTATGTGGAAATTTAGATAGTAAGATATAAAATGTATAGTAAACTATCCCAGTTTTATAGTACTAGACAACTAATTACTCTAATTGAAAGTATGTTATTGTGGATAGTTTTAAAAATGTTTTTTATATATGGAAAGTATGAATGTTTAATATCATCTAGACAAAGAGCAATGCAGAGACATTAGACCAACCTGCTTGATTTTTAACCCTTTGTATCCCTGTAGTCCATGATCTATAATTTGGTTCAGTAATCATCCCTCTTCTCTTTTCTATACAATTTCAATATGTAGAAAGGCACTACTATTTATGACATATCATCAAAAAAGCAAATTGATTAACAAGACAATACAAATATATTCAATACTACATTACAAATACTCTCTAATACCCAATCTTCCTTTTCTCTCCTTTAGACAGATCTGGGCAAATTTAACTCATGTCTTTAGATTTGCTATTAGGGTGGTCATTATTTATTGG